AGGAAAAGAATATCAATATTTCCAAAATAATGTATCAAAAGTTATATTAACAAAATAGTTAACAATATCACTTTTCACTTCTAGGTCAATCTGAAGACTGACCTAGTGATTTTATCAAAATGTAATTCTACACTGTTTAGCCAAAGAACATTTTCATGTTCACATATCTCTTACATTAGGTTAATGATAAACAAAATATTTTGGCACATAATCTATCATCATCTATGATATTTACAAGATAAGTGGACAAGGACATGGGTGGTCCATGGCTAATAGCTTTGAAAATCACTGATCTAGACTAGTATTTTGCAAATATTTAAAAGTATCAGATTGGTCTAGCATATTTAAAAGGAAACTAATATCATATTTGAATTGAGACACAGTATATGTAAAAGCAAAGATTTGTAAATGGGTATTATAATGTAAGCAATCAAGTAAATAATTTGGAGAGAACACAGCACATCTCATGCAAAAGATCTTTCTGAAATTTATTGGAGACCACCAATTTGAATAATATTAGTTTAGAAAAAGCACAGGCAATCTTTTAAATGGCAGGCCAAATGTGAAAAATGTCATGCATGCCAATTTTTTGCAACTTTTCATAATTTACAAGATTTTAGAATTATTATGAAACTGTTTAAGCCAAGTTTTCATTATAACATTAATTCATTGTAACATTTCTTTTATATTCATATCTGTAATTGATTTCATTAATAAGAAAAAAATGAAATACAAATACAAGATATTTTATTATATACATTTTTTAAACTGGATTAAATTGCACACATTTGCAGACTACAGTTGGTCTGTGGGCCCAAAGGCTAATCATATCCTAAAATATGAACTATCAGTAAGGCACTGAACAATTATACCTAAAATTATGTTAGGCCTATTACAGTTTAAAATATTTCTTTCAAATATGTTATAAAATTCCCAGAAAAATCATTAGTTTAAATTTCAAGGTTTCAACAATTCACTACTTTAAATGCTATTAATCCAGTCAATTTCCAATTGACCTGAATTAATAATATTTTACAACTAAAATTTATTTAATTTCATTTCTCTGTATCATATACATTAAAATAAAACTGTATTTTATTTTTTAATTTTTTTCTTTTATAGTTATACATATTATAGGTATTATAGTTATAAATTATAGTTATACATATAATTTTATAAGCATTCTTATAAATATTTTTATTTAAAAAAAAAATCAATTTTATAAAAGTTTAATAATAACTTTTTATAAAATGATATCTTTTTTTAACACCACCTTTTATGAAGCTATATTAGGGGTCCCCAAAGTGGTCGATATCGACCCCTTGGGGTCAATAAGAGATCTCCAGGGGTCAATTAATACACGAGGGTCAAAAGGGGGTCGATTAATACCAAAGAGGATCAATTGAACTATCTAGGAAAAAAATAGAATATTCCAATAAAAATTTGAAATATGGATATGATCAACAACATTACTGACTACCCTAGTTATAACTTGAGTTTTGCTTTAGCCTATGCCACTTTAAGCATGTGTTACTCTGTTTTCATGCATCTGGCAACTGTACTAGTGTTACAAACATATTATGAACGCTGGTAGTTCATTATACACAGACTTATGTTGCACTGTTACACTCTAGTAGGGTTGTCACACTAAGTATTTTATATCTGAATGTAGATATTTTGTCCTTTACAGAGAAAATATCGAAATATATCGAAAATCATTAATATAGTATAGAAGCATTTGCAAGGAAAAAACGTTACAATTGTTCAAGCTTGAACAATCATAATGGCCTTTCAAGTAAAAATGGAGCTATTTAAATCTTCACTGGCACGATCCAATTTTAAATATTTTCAAACTTGCGAGTACTAAAAGAAAATGAAAATATAATCTCCATATGAACCGAGGAGGAGACGAAAGAAAGAAAGAAAATAAAAAAATTTCCGACCTTAATTTGGAGATATATATTAAACATATTGATAAATTAAGAGAAGACTTTAAAGCACATTTTGAAGACTTGGAGAATATGCATGTTCCCGAATGGTTTGCTAATCCATTTGATGTAGAAATAGATAATGAAGGTTGTGAACCTGGCTTAGAAGATGAACTGAGTGAAATATGTGTAGATCTCGAAACTAAAGTGTTGTTTAAAAATAAAAACCTCAGTGAATTTTAGAGCAATAACAATATTGCCATCTTAAGCTCAGAGCAGAAGCTGAACCTTTCTTACTTGCATTCCCAACTTCATACATGGCTGAAGCTGATTTTAGCTATGCGAATGCAATTTTGACAAAACAAAGGAACAGATTGAACTTGGAAAACCGTGGTGATTTGCTTTGGTTGAAAATTGGTAAGTTTTCAACCGAATATCAATAATCTTGCTGCTTCTCTTCAGACACATCCATCCCACTAATATGCATTCAGTAGTAGTCTCAAAATGACAGCAAGAGGTTTTTTTCAACCAATATAACTTATGTTATGTTTTCAAAGATAATTGTATGTTTTACGTATTATGACACGTATGGTTTAAGAACTACAGGCAAATTTCCATCTATCCATAATTTTGCTATTATTTTTTAAGATTATAAATCAGTGGAAAATATCTCCTTTTTCTGTTAATGTTATTGGGATTTTATAAGAAATGGGAACTATAAATTGTTTTGTTGGGTTGTTATGCAGGTCTCCTTATAGCTTAACATCAGAAATGCAAAAATGATTTAAAGTCGACCCCCCTATAATTACTATTCCTATAAAACTACAAAAAAATTGTGACCGGTATCCGTAAAAAACAGTAAAAAACCCCCAATATCTTATATGGGGTCTTTTACTGTTTTTTTACTGTATCCAAAGAATGGAAACAGTAAAAAAATCTTATAGGGGGTTTTTTACTGTTTCCAAAGAATGGAACGTATCTATATCTTATAGGGGGGTCGACTGTAATTAATGTTTTTGTTAAATACATAATCTGGGTTCGATAAGAAGGCAAGTATTCTATAAAGGGGTCGACGGGATAAAAAGTTTGGGGACCCCTAAGCTAGACAGAAAACCAAACCATCTCAAGAGTAAATGTACTTTTCAAATGTAACAAATTTTATTTAAGTTAATAATTCATTGTCATCATAAATTTATTGTATTTCTCTAAACTCATTGATGCAACTATTTTGCTTGGCAAACTTAAAAATAAACTTTAAAACATTAACGGACTTTTCATAGTTATATAAATTCTCACATTTCAATAAATAAGAATTATTAAAAATGTTTTATAAAAATATTAACTTTGAAGCTAAACAAAATCAAGAAGAATTTTTTATATTTTTCATGTTCAATATTTAATGATATCTTTTATAGCACACATGTGAATAGCAGTTGTATTAGGTATCACAATGTAACTATATTCTTTAATAGTTATGGTGTGACCACATATTTAGCAAATAATTCTCACATTTTTACAATATATACTTATCCTTTAATAGTGTTTTTGTATAGATTGAACATTATTATTTTTAAATAAATTAATAATCTGTATTTAAAATCATATTTATCAAATTTAAGCCTCATACATCAACTTTTGCTATTTTGAATTTATAACTATTAGATTTTGATAGTGATTTATTTTCTGTATCAATTTGAAATTAATGCAATGTAAATATTGTTTTAGTTATCAAATTAAATTTGTACTCTTAATTTAAAATTTCAAAAACTCAAATATCTAGTTTATTCATTCTTGTCCAGCTCATTCTATAGCCACATTTCTCAACAAGCAATCTGCAGACATCACAGTGTGGGGTTTTAAGTGTCTAAAATAAATGTCAAGAACTGCTGTTCATCACTTATGCTGGAAATTTTATTTGTAATCACCACAATGTACTTAAAATGAAATCAATATGACAAATTGCTTAAATATGTTAATTTCAAACTGACGAGAGAAAAAAAATTTACATTAATAACTATTTGTAAACTATAAATTCGATATCTTTTGGTTTTAAATTAAATCATTAAGAATCGTTGTCTAATCAGTTATATCAGGATATATTATACTGATATTTCCTTACAACAGAATTGTTTCCCAATTTAAACAGCAATCTTACCATCCAAGATATTTTATAGTAAAACTAATAAAACACAAAAGCACAAGATTTATGTCAGAAATAAACTTTATTTAAAATATCAACATTTGTACCTTTATATAATTTTATTTAAGAATAAAAATCTTATATAAAACTTAAAAACAATGATTATTATAATAATAAATATTTCACATAGAATATTTCACAGATAATTCATTTTATTTACCGAAATCAATTAGAAAATAAACATCAAGCTTTTACTTAATTAAATAGCAAGATCTTTTATTTAATATAAAAGCTTTGCTTACAAAATAAAAAACATCTCTTTCACTCTTCCTAGTAAACAAAATACAACAACTTCCTCTTCCTCTATTGGATCAATTTAATATTTTTTTAAATTTTGAATGTCATTTAAATGACATCCATAGTTCTTATATTCAATGCAGTATCATTAAAAAAAATATTTCATAAAAAAATAAATTACATAATTAAAGCTTAAATCAATAGAGAAATAAATCTCGATTAAGACGAAAATAAATTACAGATACGGCAACGTTGGCACGTAAGAAGAAAGATTAGAAAAATTTCATCTATCCATATTTCCAAGCAAAGCAAGGCGACATGATAGCTTCGTATAAGCATTAAGCAATAACGAATGAGTCTTTATTAAGATTGGCGTGCGTAAAGTTACCAATAAGCGATAATAGCATAGATTAAGACGTAGAGAATAAGTAGAAAGTCTTAAAAGCGTCATAGACACGGCAAATAATCCATTCGTGGGATGGACGTCGACACTCAAAGTATGGACGGTACCATACACGAACAAAAGGATATCAGGGTGGGGAACAAACAAAGTGGGTTCGTCTCAAAACATCAAACTACGGAAGCGGAATAGTCCGTTTGACTTATATATAATTACTAATAAACTTAATACTCACCCCAATCGGTACTGTAATGAAATTAGTGTTTATATCCACATATAGAAGGTTTAAAAGGACTACAATCTTATCCTACGTTACCCACTTTTGCAAATACGACCAACATTTAATCTCGTTCCCTGCCGTGACGTCATGGAGAAAGATGGCGGACGGAAATCGGGCGAGAGATGACGAACCAATAAACAGGAAGGTAATGTGGCTAAACCAATCGCTCTGTTTATTTAAGAAATACCTTTTGATTCGCTTTTATTAATGAAACTATAAGAAAATCATTTGTAATTTATTTTTGTAAGTTTAAGGAAAGAAAATTTGATATATGCTAAGTGTTTCCTTGAAATATTCTCTATTATTTCCTTATGAAATATTCTTTCAAATACTTTTATTTGTTGCAACATTGTTTGAGCTTGGGTATCCTCTTCCAAATATAAAACGTTATTGTTATTTCATAAAAGAACGCCGTGTGTTGTATAAATTATATAATTGTCAATTATAATACGTGATGTGTGGATAATAAACAAGGATAAAAATGCTATTAGAAAGCTTTAAATTCTTTTATTTAATTACTCACAGACTAATAATATAATCTATTAGTAATTGTTTTGTATTATCTACTAGATCAATATTTATAATTAAAAACTTTCATTAATTGAATTTTTAGATATTAAATTTGTTATTTATTGGTATAATTAGAATATTTCTTGTGATATTGAATTCAGAATTTCAATTGATTTTGATTGAAAATTAAATCAATGTTATGGAAAAGCCATCTCGCCCATTCATCATCTATCGAGCACAGAAATAGTCCACTGTCTTTTTATGTTGAGAGAAAATGGTGATATCATCTGAATAATAATAATTTATAAATACCTAATTTCTTCAGTTTTATATATATTGAAATATTTGAGAATATCTAATATTTGTGCTTCTTTGAATGGTATGATTATAAGAAGAGAGCCAGAAATAGATTTTAGTTTGTTTATTTTATGTTATTTTTATTTCAAAGTATTCCCTTATCTCAACAATTCTGAATTAAGTTATTGCATATACTGTATGTACAGTACAGTATATATAGTCACCATCAGTATGTTCTTGAAGGTTTTAGTAAATGTAAAATGACTATATTTTATATTTATCTATTTTTTTTAATTTTGTAAAAGATATTACCATATATTGTGATCCTATATGATCATAATTAATTACATAAACTTTTTATAAAACAATTAAATCAAAATAAAAATTCTCTGGATTTACAATTTTATGAATGTAAAAAACAAAATTAAGAACGTATTTACATTCTGACATGTAGCTTTACCAATGCAATTTATTTATTCTAACACTCAACAACCATTGATCAATTCTTAGTGTTTGAAATGTTGGTCAGCGATAAACCATTTCTGATAAAAATTTCAGCCAATAATTGATTATTTTGGAATTGCGAACTTTTATTATTCAAATGCAGTGTGTAGCATCTGTGTAATCCAAAACGAGTTGGTAGACGAACGGACAGCAATTGGTTAGAAAACGTACGTTTTATTTAAAAAATTCCTAATTCATATGCATTTCGGGTTGGCTTAAATTCCCAACCCCTCTTCAGTGCTGTTAAGATTACACAAAAAAATATAATTTAAGGTTAGTTTTACGGTATTGGTTAGTAGGAACATAACTAAAAACGCGAGGTGATGATAACATAAAATTGCTTACTTGACATATAATGGTACAGCATAGATGTATTTTACAAAATTTTTTGATTACATAGTAGTATGGCATAGCCTATGATATGAAAAAAGTGGTATAAGGGGGAGGCTGTTTAACATATCATTTTTATGACGAACTGTATAACATAGAATATTAATTTAAAAAATATCAATGCACACTTACATTTTAGTTAGAATGTATTATTTCCGAATACAAAAAGGAACATAGTACAAAACATTTTTAACAACTGGTCTTATCCGTTGTTCGCTTAGTAACAGAATACCGACAAGTAATGTTATATAAACAGTTACCCACATTCCGTACACGGGGGTTGTGATTTAAACAATCTTTAACGCGTGGAGGC